CTATCTGTCTGTCTGTCTGTCTGTCTTTCTGTCTGTCTGTCTGTCTGTCTGTCTGTCTGTCTATCTATCTATCTATCAGTCTGTCTATCTCTGTCTATATATCTATCTATCTGTCTATCTATCAGCCTGTCTGTCTATCTATTTGTCTGTCTATCTGTCTATCTATCTATGTATCTATCTATCTGTCTATCTATCAGTCTATCTATCTATCAGTCTATCTATCAGTCTGTCTATCTATCAGTCTGTCTATCTATCTATCATCTATCTATCTATCTATCTATCTATCTATATCTATCTATCTATCTATCTATCTCTATCTATCTATCTGTCTGTCTGTCTATCTATCTATCAGTCTGTCTATCTCTGTCTATCTATCTGTCTATCTGTCTGTCTGTCTGTCTGTCTATCTATCTATCTATCTGACTGTCTATCTATGTATCGATATCCATCTCTTTCTATCTATCTATCTATCTATCTCTATCTATCTATCTGTCTGTCTGTCTATCTATCTATCTGACTGTATCTAACTAACTATATGTATATATATGTATATGACTTTCTATCTATCTATCTATCTATCTATCTATCTATCTATCTATCATCTATCTATTTGTCTGTCTTTCTGTGTCTATCTATCTGTCTATCCAGACAATGATATAAATTAAATCTTTTCTGTCAGGATCTCAATGGACTGGAAAGACAGTGAAGGTGTTTATTCCTCAAGGAGGAGCTGAGGAGTTTGTCTGAAGAGCTGGCTCAGTGTCAGGTACAGTATAGTACACTATTTGGTCAAATTAATCTTTTGTCTGTTTTCTCTGTCTCTGGCTATAGTGATGATGGTCCTAAACTATGTGTAAAATATTCTAATATTCTAAGATCATATCAGAAGCCCATATTAAGTTCTTCCTTAGAATATATATATTTATTTTAATATATTATTATTATTTATTTTTTTCCCCATAGTTGCAATGCTAGCAGGAAACTCACGGGACTTAATCCTCCTGCACATTGTTAAATCCCCAGCAGGTGGTGCCTAAAAACAAACACCTGCATTGTCAACAGCATCTCAAACGTGTAATCATTATAGACGGAGCAACCCATATTACTAATATATCATAATTTCTGAGCTCATAGCTTCCTTACAGACATCTAAACACCGATCTTGGTAACTGCTAATTAAGAAGAGCCCTCAGTTACTCGCTGTACAGCAGTCAAAGCCTTACTCTGACCTGCATCATCATCGTCGGCGGACTCTGTCGAGCTGTTCTTCACTCGCCTGCGGTTCACAATTGATTTATGTATTTACATGTATTTATAAAGCATCACGTATCATTTATGTAAAAGGCGCAGTGCCTGTCCATCGACTGCCATTAACTGCAAAATGTTTCTAGTGGACCTGAGAATTATCAGGCAGGCAGTTTTACTTTATTAATATTTGTATAAATAGCACCATTCAATGAGTGCGCTCATCCAGTGGGCATTCACGGTCTGCTGTATGAGATAAATAATTCATCAATACGACTGCCTTTCAACATATCAAACACCTTCCGTTCCACGAGAAAATCCCTGTAATGTGCAGGAGTTGCTCAATCTTCTGATGTTGTGAGCTTAAGCACTTGTGAAGAGACCACCTGTTTGATGGAGGACTCTTCTTAATTTGTCATTAAACACAATGAAGACTAGGAATTGTGAGATCTCTATTTCTTTTCATTTGCACAGTCTCTCTCTCTCTCTCTCGTGCACACGCTACTTTGTATGTTTAGCCCATGGTCTATCAAGGTCTGCCTGCACCATTTAGTAAATAATTAATTAGACACTTTTGAATAGGGTTTAAAATTCATGTACTAATTGGACACCAGCAGATTCTGCGGGGATTTATGACTTTAATCTTATAATGATGTGGACATAATTTAACAGATAATTTTATATTAAGTTGATCTGGTATAATTCAGTTTTTTTTAATTAATGTCAGAAAATGTAGTTTTTAGATGTCTCTCATTAAATGTAATGTAGCTTAAAAATCTTTCAGAGCTTTTTTCCCGGAGACACTGAATTGTAAGCGTGTCTTGCGTCTCTCTGACGCCACTTTCTTCTTCAGCCAACGAGTGAGTTCAGATTTACTCTTGTTTTCTTCAGTCGTTCCTCTATGAATAGGATTACTCTGATTTAATTTCTTTTTGGTTCATTTGTTAGAGCAGAAATGTTTCATGCATTTTGTTTGATTTCAGTATCAGTCCACTCTATGATATCATTTACTGTTTTTTTTCCCGTTGATTAGATCACATGATATTTGGCAGAGGTTTTAAAATATTAATAAGCCATTGTTAATCAGTTTCTGTCTATCTAAAAATTGAAAACTAATGTCAAACTACTTACTGTTTTCTTTTCAAGAATTTCATTGTTATAATGATGAAGATTTTCTTCATTTCTGACTTAATAGATTGGACCAAAAAAAAAAATAAACAAAAATCATATGCCGTATGGAAGCAAATTTCCGCTGCTGAATAAAAAAACAAAAAACGTAATTGCGACTTTTTATCTCACAATCTCAGAATTGCGAGAAAAAAATGTCGGGTTTGTGAGATAAAAAGTCACAATTACATTTTTTGGGTTTTTTTATTCATAAAAATGTATTATTATTTTTTATTATTTTTTTATAAATCAGCTTTCCATTGATGTATGGTTTGTTAGGATAGGACAATATCTGGCTGAGATACAACTATTTGAAAATCTGGAATCTGAGGGTGCAAAAAAAAATCTAAATATTGAGAAAATCATCTTTAAAGTTGCATTTACAGTAGAAAATGTACAAAATATCTTCATGGAACATGATCTTTACTTAATATCCTAATGATTTTTGGCATAAAAGAAAAATGTATAATTTTGACCCATACAATGTATTGTTGGCTATTGCTACAAATATACCCCAGCGACTTAACACTGCTTTCGTGCTCCAGGGACACAAATGAGAATATAAATGCAAAGTAATGACTGGAAATTGCTCATTCGGAAGCTGCTTTTAATAATGTTGTTGTTGTGTTGGCTTCTACAGACGAGGAGTTCGTGTGGTTCAGGTGGCCAGTCCAGATCTCAGTCCCTTTCTTCTACTGAATCATTATGCTTTTGTGTCTCAGACTTGAAATAAATGCTGCTTCTGTCACGTGAAATCCCTGATTTGCGAGCACTTGGGCAGTGGTGTTCTGCAGGGGTGTGTGTCGAACGCAGTTATGAGAGAACCTGAGAGCAGATGATGATCTAAACCCTCTTATCCTCCCTCTCTCCTCATCTAAACGCCTCTTTGAGGGATATACACTAGATTTAACATGACTTATGACCCTCGAAGAGAGTGTGGGGAGCTGCAAAAGTGGCATGGGAAAGCGAGAAAGAGTTCAAATCAGCAATGCCATTGTCATGCCGTCTTTCAGAAGTTATGATGATGATGATAAGAGGTGCAGATAAAGCAGTATTCCACACATGGGGGAAATTGAGGCCAGTGGCGTGGCTTGGTGTAACGGTTGTGTATTTATTCGGGTGAATATGAAATGGTTCTTTCCACCACCTGATGAAAGGTCAGAGATGTGGAGAAAGTTGTTGCTTGCGCGAAAGTGTTCCTCGACTCTAGAAGCGCGGGCAGGCTATGCTCTCTCCGTATCCCTCACAAACCTCTTCGCCAACAAACCGAGCTGCTCCTCAAAGAACTGGCATCGCTCACCTGAGGGCCTGTGCATACATCAGCTCCGCGCCACCCGGGACATTGACATGATAATTGCTCTGGCTCTGAGAAGCGCACAGGCTTCTGGGAATTCTGGCCGGTCTGGTAGCGAGTGAACGCTTGGCTTGGGATACGGTTAACATCAGCGAGCTTCAAGGCAGCGGCGCTCTCTGAGGACAGCCGTATCATGTCAGATGTCCTCGGGGAGAGAAAGGGTGGAGGAGATTGAAAAAGTGAACCAGGGAAAGGAGGATCCCAAGTGAGTGGCGGCTGTTCAAACAAACTTGCCCCAATTGTGATTCTTTTGTCTTTCCCCCCCAAACGCCCGCTAAAGAGGGTTAGATGCTGAAAGGAAAGGAGTGTTTGTGTTCCCCAGTGAGTAGTGTTCCTGGTTTGATATCCTGATAATTACTGATACCTGGAGACTGGAGTTATATCCCATCATTCCCTGTTGACCCTCTGCGGTATAAGCTCAGAGAGCGCTCTGAGTGCTTTAAATGCACGTTTCTTCTCCCACAGCGTCCAGTCTATCCTGCAGTGTTTTATCTCCTAACCGAGCATCGCCGTTGCATCATCCCAGATAGATTTTCCAGTGTGAATGGCTGAGGCCGGCCGATCGCTTCTGTATGCTGTTTCTGCCTTTAATTTTGCTCTTCTGTTGTACTAGAGAAAAGCAGAAAGCTGAGAACAAGGACAGGACAGTTCTGGAGATCCTTCAAGCAAAAGACGACAGAATCCGAGAGCTTTACTCGATTCAAACCACAGCGCAGCCGAGAAACCTTCGGCTCTCCTTGTTTAATGAGCACCTCTGACTGCTTGATAGATCTGCTTGGATGACAGCTAATGATGAAGCCGTGTTGTTAATTCACCTTTAATCATGCCTCTTAATGAAACATCTGTCAGTCGGCTTCGTTAGGAGCTCTGTCTCTTCAGCAGCAGCGAGTCCGTCAAACGTGTCCATGCATCACGCACACTCTTCATTTGAGTAAATAAGATTAGCCACGGCTTGATAACCCATAGCGGAGCAAACCGGAGCTTGCTAAACACAGCAGCTCCGACGTCAAGGCAGTGTTATTAATAGAAGGTTTATCATAGCAGGAATTACGTTTAGCGTCAGCAGCACTGTAGATATGAACACCTAGGTGGCACATTAGCAGCGATCGCTAATTACAGTGATGCGTCTGCAGGTCTGCCATATTGGAAAGGTCAAGATCCGCTTGTAATTGCAAGGAAGTGAATGTCAGATGACAGGCGTGCTTTGCTAACAGTCCCTTCTTACCGATTTTCACAGGATTTGGTTTGTCATAAATGTCAGATGGTTCTGTGTGTTGTTGACGACGTTCTGTTCAAAATGGAAGCGTATCGGTAAAGTCGATGATCTGGAGCAACTGTCTGATTCTTGAACATTTGAATAAAATAAGGTTGTAAAGCATAAATGAACTTGAAGATTGAAAAACAGTCAAATATAATCTATTTTATATAGTAAATTGGTATAACGGGTGGACCTCTAGGGATAAACCTATTGTATAAACGATTGTACATACTGGGTTAAATGACCTGCAGAATATTAACATTATATAAACCATAAATATAAGATTGCAGATCTGTTGACACATCCATAGCTATGTGTTCATATCTATGCTCAGCGATTCCTCAGTTAATTTCAGATTCAGAACCAGCGGTGCAAATTTTGAAGTTGATATTTCAGTATGCTGTATTATGAAGAGATACAAAATCTTTCCTTCTGTCAGCTTTAAGTTTCACCGGCCGGTTAGTGGAATACGGCCATCGTGCCCTGTTTGAGAAACTCATTAATAGTCAGAATGCTGGGTACCACTCAAAACCACTGGCATTCGTCTCGTCCAGATTTTGCGCCAAACGAACCCAAATGTGATTAATTGCTTTTTCCTTCCTTGGCCGTGTGATGGTCTGCTGAATCCTCATCTCATCTCTGCGTTTCCACACTAACTTTGACCAGCTTTCCTCTCACCCACCCCCTTCCATTACCTCTCTTCTTCCATTTTTGTAACATAATTAGCTTTCATTTTTGAACT